GGTAGTCGTAGCTTCGGAGCGGTAGCCAGCTCACGGCGACGGTCGCGGTAAGGCTGGCTGGCTTTCGGCTCTTGGAGGATCGCACAGTCTCGCGAGTCCTCCTGCATCCCTTCTCTTCTCGTCCTGCGATATTCGGCACTCGGAGATCGGTACTTATCGTTATTATTGTCTCGAGACGGTTCCTGTCTCGAGACATTGTTGCCGTCGCAGATCCTCTCGCTGCCTGTCTCGGCGCTCCCGTTTTTTTCTCCTAGGCTCTCGTGACGGCTGCGTTCGCTAAAAGTAAACACCGCTGACAGAATACTGCCTACTTGCGATATTGTTTCTTACTTCGGAATATTCTCAGCGGTACAAGATTCACGAATATTGAGCGATCGATAATCCGGCATAATGTAATATGAGATAGTGACAGAGCGATTCACCTAATCTTGAGCGTTGTGGAGTTGTCGGTCGCCGCTTTCTCGTCCCTCGACGCTCTCCGTTCCTCCAGTCCTGGTGGCCGGCCAGGGAAGTCGGGAGGGCACAAAGTTGGGGACGCGCTGACCTTCACATCTGCTCCGCTCGCAAAATTAGCTTCCGATATTTGTCCTAAGGACGTTCACAACCAAACACACGCCGAAACGCGGTATTCGAGAATATTCGCGAAAACCGTTAGCGACGCGATACACGAAAACTCTCACACAGATCCGGTACGGTTTTCTTGAGACGGACGCCTCCACGGCTGCCACGTCACAGATTATATATAAGTAATATGTATTAACATGTATGGACAAATTTCATAGATAATTATATGTAATAATGTAAAATTATATAAAATTATATATAATTTTATATAATTTTACATAATTATGTATGAAATCCTTTTTATTCAGAGGTGGAATATATCCAGACATATATATTTATATATATTTTTTAACATTAAAAGTACGTGCGTAGAAAATGAAAGTTATTTTACACGCATTTTACAAAAATTTAATATTTATCTCACATATGCCCTATATACCTGACACTGCATAATATTTTCGCTTCATATAAAAAATTGTAAGTGCGTACGTAGAAAATTAAAGTTATTTTCCACGCAGGAGACATTAGTGAATATTACGAGGCCATCAGATTACAACTTGAAGAGCTACATACAAAAAATATTGAAAAATACGATTTGGTTGCACGCGTGCGGGTGTGTATCTGGGGCCCGATTCCTGACGGCGTGCGAGTGAAATGCACATGCGAAGATCTATAATTCACGTTACATATACTATAGATTTTCGCATACGTATTTCGCTCGCATATTGTCTGGAATCGAGCCCCTAGAAAGATCCTCATCAGTATGCTAAAAAGGATATTGGAGGATTCACACCACATCCGATGTCCGACGTACGATGTCCGATAAGAGAACAGCTTTCCAATGGAGAATTGAATTCTCTATTAGAAAGCTGTTCTCCTAATGGATATTGGACGTCGTACGTCGGACATCGGACGCGGTGTGAATCCTCCATATGCGCTTCGTGCGTGATGAAAATCAGCGCTCTCTCTGGCAAAACGTTGGAACTACAATACCGCTTTTTTTTACCGTAATGATGAGGAGTCCCAAATACACATCCGCACGCATGCGAGCAAATCGTATTTTGCATTAGTTATTTAATCTAGCCCTTCAAGTCATTATCTGATGGCCTCGTAATGTTCACTAATGTCCCCTGCATACAAAATGACTTTCATTTTCTACGTATGCATTCAGTATTTTTTATATGAAGCGGAAATATGGTATATGAAAAATAAATATAAAATTTTTGTTTGTTTTCTATGCTATACTTGGCTGTTTTGCATACATTGGCATCTCTATATTTACTCTGTAAAAGCATTTTCAATTCTATGCAGCCGTATGGAAAAATAGTGAAAAATAGATAATGTCGGTATTCAGCATCCCCTTAAGCTTAAGTTTACGTACAGGTATAGCCATTGTATTGTCAATACTTAACGTAACGTAACATGTTACGGACGTGTTTGTACGTTGGCTCTCACTCTTTAGTTAGCTTAATTACAACAGACTTACTCTCCCCCCCCCCTCCCCGCGGTACAGGGAGTCTGGGGGATGTAACCCCACAATTACACGGCTAGGACAGATACTATTTACATACTACACTTAATATACTCTGTATTGATATTAATGTATCTTTTTTTATGAATAACTTTTTAACAAACAGTTAAAAAGTTAAATTAACTAGCACAAAGTGCCAGTTAAAACCTTTACACAGTGGTAGACACCTTCCTAGCCTACAAATTTGATGTTTTTGTACCAGGTTGATTGATAAGTCTTTAGAATGACATATAAGTGGTGCTGCCACCTCCAATGCACAGTGAATTTCCAGTAGTGCCAATTTTCAAACCTCTCACTACACAGTTGCGGACAGCTATGACAAACAGTATATTTGTGACAGCCACCGAAAGCACATAACCTCTGATATTTTATAAAAATGGAAAAAACTGAAATTCGTATAGTAATTATTTCTATTTGAAAGACTTGCAACCGCAAGAAATGATTGAGGACTTCCAAAAACTTTGAGAAAGTCTACTCCGTCTAATGCAACCGTATATAACTGGATTACTGAGTTTAAACGTGGTCGTACTAGCATATCGGATGTACGACACAGTGGTCGTCCAAATGAGATGATTACACCAGATATGAGTGAAAAAATCCATGATATCATGTTGGATGATCCCAAAATGAAATTGCGTAAACTAACTGCAGCTGTGAGCACCTCATCTGAACGTGTGTTCAATACCCTACACAAACATTTGGGTATGAGAAAGCTAACTGCAAGATGGGTGCCGCGATTGCTAACAATCGATCAAAAACGTGAACGAGTTTGCATTTCTCAGCATTGTTTGGACATGTTTAGGCGCAAATCAAAGGAATTTTTGCGTCAATACATAACCGTTGATGAAACATGGATCCACCATTATACACCTGAATCGAAACAACAGTCAGCACAATAGGTTCTAAAGGGTGGAAGTGCTCCGAAACGTTCAAAGACGCAACAATCGGCTGGAAAGGTTCTGGCTACTGTGTTTTGAGATGCACAAGAATCCTCATCGATTTTCTTGAAAAACAATCACAGAAGAATATTATGCATCATTGTTGGATTAATTGAATGATGAAATCAAGAAAAAACGGGCTCATTTAGCGAAGAAGAAAATTCTCTTTTGTCAAGACAATGCATTAGCTCACAAATCGGTAAAAGCAATGGCAAAATTGAACGAATTGAGGTATGAATTGCTCCCACATCCACCGTATTCTCCAGATCTGGCCAGTGACTTCTACCTATTTCCAAATCTCAAAAGATAGGAAAAGAGCTCCAGGGAAAGAGATTTGCTTCAAATGAAGAGGTTGAATGAGAAACACGCATATTTCGGCGGTTTAGAAACTTCTTATTATTTCGAAGGCTTAAAGAAGCTAGAAACTCGTGGGATTCGGTGTACTGAGCTAAAAAAAAAGTTTATGTTGAAGAATAAAGTTGAATTCTACTAACAAAATGTTTTTTTCATTTTCATTTTAAGGACTTATCAATCAACCTGGTATATATAGTATCCAAAAATTACAATCATTTTATGTAACTTCTTTTGTTCATAACTTTTTAGTAAACAATGAGCGATGGCTAAAATCTTCAGAAGGTTACTCAGAAGAGTAACCTCTATGGCATAGGTCAAGGTTAAGCGCATCGGAGGTGGCGCCTGTTTTCTATACTTTTATCCATTTAACATTACAATATCTCAGCAACGTTGTTTCAACTTTCTATGCAGCATGGGTAATGTTTTTGCGTGTGATTCATACATCCTATCTTGTACAGAGGTCTTCCCTTACAGAAATATCATACTAAGAAATACTGAAAAATTACACAGGTCTACAAAAAAAAATTTTCAAAAATTTACTCGGACCGGAGTAGGTTTCCGGTATGTATTTTGAGCCCCTGAATCCGAATTCAGGTCCCGTTTTGCTCCATCACCCTAGGTTTTTTCAAAAATGGCGGATTCAATATGGCGCATGTAGCGTATTTTACTGTTTTCCAACGGATTATTTTAAAACTTCTAACATAAAGGTTTTTGGACTCACTGATTACGAAATTAACATTAGAATTCCGAAATTCAAGATGGCGGATGCAATATGGCGGACCATAGTAGTAAATTCTGATTTTTTAAGA